TTTATACAGGTCTTCTACAGGCTGCATGCCGTAGTTCTTTTCCGCATTGAGCAGCCTGTTTTTCCGCGTACCCTGCTGGTATTGCAGGTAGCCGCTTTCATCAAGTAATATTTTACTGGTGCCTGTATTGCGCTGGAAGTAGGCAGGTACAATTTCTTTGGCCCTGTCCATGTTCATTACAGATTTTACCAGGTTGTGCTGTACGCCTGGTATAACGGTACAGCGGCAAAGCCAATCACACGGTGGGTAAATAATACTCCATATAGGGTCTGTTGGAGGGGCGGTAAATCCTTCCAGCTCTGCGTGCGCCGGTCGTACCCTGTCGTCTCCAACGGTACTGTACTCCAACAAATCAGCATCTTTCAGGGTTTCCCAATTAAGGGCAGACTGAGCGCCAGCTAAGGCTGTTATATATTCTGTTTGCAGCCAGGTCTTGTTGAACTGCAGGCCAGCATCAAAGCAGGCGTTCCTAAATTCCTGGAAGCTGCGCAGCTTGCCGTCTGCATCGTGCAGCAGGCTGTTAAAGTGTAACAGCTCCGCCTGACTTTTGGCTCCGCTAAATGCAAACAGGTTTTGCTGAAAATATGCCAGTAGTGTATTGCGGCTGTCATCGTGCGTAAAAGTTGTGCCGCCCAGGCCCTCATGCATGGCCTTTAGCAGGTCATTGGCGGTTTGTTCATACAATTGCCTTGGTATTTCATTACCTGCAATCTTATGGCCGTAAATCTGCTCTATGAGGCTATCCAGAATAGGATCGTAATTGCCTATTGGAGGTGTAGATGCAGAAAGGTCTTGCAGGCCACCGCAAATAGGGCAGCGCCGTTCATAGCTTGCTGCCAGGTCTTTGTATATCTGCCCTACCGTTAACGTAGGGCTGGGTCGAAAAAATCGGCAATCTTTTGGCGTAGCTTAAACCAGGTGCCTTCATCATCGGCCAGAGAGGGCATACCTTTCTTGCCCGGCGTTTTGTCGCCTTTTTTATTGGGGAAGGGTGCGGGTTTCTGCAATGCCATTTCTTTCTCTTTGTCCATTTTGGCGCGCAGTTCTTTATAGTTCTCTGGTTTGGGAATGCCGTATGTATCGTACCAGTAGTCATCGCCTACAGGTACTTTTTCAGAAACTTTTGAATCAATGTCTATTTTGGTCTTTAGCTTCTCAACATTGATCTCCTTTTTAAACTCAAACTTTCCGCCCTCAACCACCGGAAGCGCATAGCTTTTTAGGATGGTAAAAAATTCTGGACTGTTAAGAAAGTTGCTTACCTCTGTTAAATCGCTGCCTATAATCTCATCCTGTTGCTCACCATGTGTTTTGC